AGATAATCTATGTGTTCAAAAGAAGATATATAATGGCCGTATGTATGAAAAGCTGCGTATGGTACCAGCCATCATGCCAATTAAAACTAATAATAGCTGGGAGCTGACGTGCATGCCTGTAATCCCAGAGGTTTGGGAGGCTGAGGCAGGAGGATACTCGGGTTCAAAGACAGCCTCCAAAATTTAGTAATTGTGACTACATCAGCCCCCACCTGATCAGCCTAAGGAGGGAAAAATACACCTCCTTTTTCTCCTTTGAACCTCCAGTAAAATATTATCTCATTACAAATCCATAAACAATTGTCTAATGACCCTTATTTAGAGTGTGTTTCCTCTAAGACAGCCATTATCATCTCATATTAATCTTGTATCTAAATAAAATATAAAAAAGGACTGGGGATGTGGCTCAATGGTTGAGTACCCCTGGGTTTAATCCCTGGTACTCGCCACTGCCCCCCACAGAAAGAGAGAGAGAGAGAGAGAGAGAGAGAGAGGGAGGGAGGGAGGGAGGAGAGAAGAGAGAACTAATAATAAAAAAATGTAGGGGGGGCTCAGGTTGTGGCTCACTGGTAGAATGCTCACTAGCATGCATGAGGCACTGGGTTCAATCCTCAGCACGACATAAAAATAAAATAAAGATATTGTGTCCACCTAAAACTAAAAAATAAATATTTAAAAAATGTAGGGCTGGGGATATAGTTCAGTTGGTAGAGTGCTTGCCTTGCATGCACAAGGCCCTGGGTTCGATCCCTAGCACCACAGGGGGGGAAAAAAAAAGTAATGGCCAGAATACAGTGGCCCATGCCTATAATCCCAACGATCTGGGAGGCTGAGGCAGGAGGATTGCAAGTTCAAAGCTAGCCTCAGTAACTTAGCAAGATCCTAAGGAATTTAGCAAGACTCTGTCTCTAAATAAATATAAAAAAGGGCTGGAGATGTGGCTCAATGGTTGAGTACCCCTGGTTCAATCCCTAAAACCCAAAACAAAACTAAACAAACTGTAATGAATGTATGTACTACATACATGCCCATTAGAATGGATAAAATAAAAAGACTCATAATTCCAAGTGTGACAAGGATATGAAGTAGTTGGAAACACTATATGCTATTGGGTGGAATGAAAAATGGTATAACCACTTTTGAAAACAGTTTGGCAGGTTTTTTCCTTTTAGCACTTTTATTAAGGTATAATTTACATATCATAAAATCATTCATTAGTTTATTTATTTTGGTATTGGGGACTGGACCCAGGGCTTTATACATGCTAGGCAAGCCCTAGATTACATCCAATTCCTTTTCTAAATTTTATTTTGAGATAAAACCCTCACTAAATTGCTGAGGCTGGTGTGTGATTCTCCTGCCTCAACTTCTTGAGTTGCTAGGACTATATATGCACCACCATGCATAAGTCCTATGAACATTTTTTAGTTCATAGAACTTAGTTTTAGTTTTTACCTGGACCTTCTGACAAATTTAATCATTTGTAAATCTCAGGGACTTATAAGATTCCTGCCTTTGCTAATATTCCTAATGATGGTTCTGCTTTTCCTTCTTCATGAAAGATTAATATGAGATAATAATGGCTCTCCTAGAGGAAACACACTCTAAATAAGGGTCATTAGACAATTGTTTATGGATTTGTAATGAGATAATATTTCACTGGAGGTTCAAAGGAGAAAAAGGAGGTGTATTTTTCCTCCTTAGGCTGATCAGGTGGGGGCTGATGTAGTCACTCCAAATACGCCAGTTGAGAGATATCTACAAGAGCACATAAAAATAAAATAAAGATACTGTGTCCACCTAAAACTAATCTACAGGCATGATGCCCAGTAGAACTGGTTCTTTTTCAGAACACTTTAGTTCAATGTGGCTTAAAAAACAAACAAAAAACATCAAAAGAACACAGCAGTGGTGGGGCACAACTGTAATCCCAGCAGTTCAGGAGGCTGAGACAAGAAGATCTCAAGTTCAAGGCTAGCCTCAGCAATTTAGTGAGGCCCTAAGCAACTTAGTGAGACCCCATCTCAAAATAAAAGACAAAAAGGGTTGGAGGTATGGCTAAGTGCTTAAGCAATTCTGAGCTCAATTCCCACCACCACCAAGAAACAAAACAAAACAAAACAAACAAACAAACAAAAAACCCAAAATACAGCCAACAGCACAGGAAGTAGAATAAATAGCAACCTGTAACAAAACAACAGACTTGCACTGAGTATCTCTCCCTCCAGTGGAAGTTTACAGTGACTTCTTATCCAAGGTAACCTGAATCTTTCTCCTGAATCTTTCACCACTGGATATAATTGTTTGGAAACAATGATCCAAAAGGTAAACATAAACCTCAGATTCCAGAAAGACATCTGCTATTGGTGATTAAAACCAAGGTCTCATGCTATTAGGCAAGTGGGCTACCACTGAGAGATATCCCCAGTATCCCTCCCCGCTTATTTTTCACAGTACTAGGGACTGCATTCATGGTGCTCTACCACCAAGCTATATCGCAGCCCTTTTAAAAATTTTATTTTATGACAGGTCTTGCTAAATTCCCCAGAAAGCCTTGAATTTGCAAGGCTCCTGTCTCAGCTTCCTGAGTAGTTGGGATTATAGGTGTGTGTGGCCATACCTGGTGATGACCTGCTTTTTAAAAGGTAGCTGTTTCTTCTATATAGCTTCTCTGCATACAATATGCAGAAGTGTGTGTGCATGTGTGTGTGTGGGGGGGTGTTTTTCTTTCCCCTTTCTATTTTCATCTCTTATACTTCAGGACCAAACTCAATTTTCCGAACCAATTTAAGCTGGCCAGTTCTCTCAGTTCAGGCCAGTTATCAGAGAGCTCTCTACTGCCCTGAGATTTATTGATCTGGCAGGTAAGCTTTGCCCCTCAGCAAGGCAGACCAGATAATGAACCTCACAGTGGGTAATTAGTGAGAGGCTATCAGATGGTTCAAGGAGTAGTGACAGTGACTTTCTTTAATTTCCCTGGGCTGTCACCCCCTACCCCAACCTTATTTGGTTGAAGCCCTAGACACCCCTTGTGAAGTTTTTCTTTACACTAATTACAGATCTAACACACACTGGGCCCTAACCTGTACAACAAAGGCATCCGATCACACTAAATGGCAACCAAGGTAATAGGAAACACGACACATACAAATTCATATCAGACCCTTTCCTTCTCTGACTTATTGCAGGCAGGGCACTCTGCCTAGCTCCAGTCAAGAGGCTAATGTCTCTGCACTCTCCACCTGAGGTTTCTTTCCTTGGAAACATATCACATCTCAGAGAGGGAGAGTAGAAACACTATCTCTGATGCTAACTCACTAGCAACTCAACATGAAGTCTCTGCCTCCTCTCCAGGCCTCATTTACTTATCCCTCCCTAACAAACAGGATCCTTAACAGAAATCCCATTTGTGGGCTATGAATAGCTTCGTTTTTAGCTGGGTAGGTCATTTCAAGATTGCAACATCCTTCAAGCAGGATCACTATGAAAAGTCAAAATACTGTTATGGTACTTAGCAAAAAACATTTCCACAAAGCTTATAAGAGAGATAAAAGTTTGCACAGTGATACTTCTAGCCTGATATTACCACAGATGGCAAACCAAGCTTTTGCAACCACGTCTTAAAAGAGTTTTGAGCCACTTCTTGAGAAGAGGATGTAGTGGAAATAAAACAAACTTTCCAAAGATCTATTGGAATAAAAGAGGTGGCTAAAAAACAAACTGAAGAGAGAAGTCCTACTTGAATATGCCTATCTAATAGGAACAAAAAGTCTAAGCAAGAAAGCAAAGACTGCTATCTCCTATAACCTCTTCAAAAGCTGAAAAGTACCTACTGGAATTCCTACTAGTTTTAACACTGTTCTTCCTGTGTGCTCCCAATGAAACTTCACAGTTGCCTGGAGATCAGAAGTTCATGTGACAGTCATTTCAAAACTCCTACCTAATTGTAGAAAATGCTAACAATGACAGAGATGAATAATAAGCTGACCTCTTCTCCACCAGTGACCTCTGTATTCATCCTGCTTGACAATGAAACATTAATTATGAGAGTTTTTGTCTCATGAAAAAAATGGGCCTACTACTTTAAAAACAATTAAAATCCAGTGTGTTATCTTTTAGATCTTGAACCATATATTATCTATTAAGTAAAAATTTAAAAAGAAAAAAGTCACCATGTCCCTTTGATGTGTAGGAAAAGCTTTACTTCTCACAATGACCTTTCTGAGATATTTGGTTGGAATAAAAAGACTATTCTCTCACTTAGTAAAGTTATCATACTGTGCCAGGATCCTCTTCTCAGGCATTTCTGCCCAGCTGGCAGGCAAACTCTCCAGGCCTGTGTTTGGTACTTTCTGTTCTCAAAACTGAATGGGCCTGTCTCAATCCAGGACCTTACCCCATCCCCCTGGAATAATAAGCCCTGTTATCTTCTCTCTCTGCTTCTCTTTCTGCTTTCCTGGCTTACCACTTCCTTCAGAATATTAGACAGACTCACGTTGTCACACATGACTCTGCCTGATAAAATGGCTTTGGGAGTTAGACTGACCAAGGTTCTCATTATTTTAACACTAGCAGCTGTGTGACCCTGGGCAAACTGTTCAGTCTATTTAGTGTCCTCAGCTATAAAATGATAATCACACCTGTCCCAAATAGATGATGTAAGAATTAAGTAAATAAATCATATAAATTTGCCTACTTTGTAATTATGAGTTGTTTCATTTATTTGCATCTGTTTCAAATCCAAGATACTTTCTCCCCTAAGGTCCCTGATAGTGCAGCTGACCTTGTCTAAGTAAGAAGGGTCAACCTAGCAGCACATAAAGGGTGAGGGTCAACTGACCCTCTTATGTGGACCTTCTCAAGATGCTGACATAAACTAAAGTTGATTAGAAGGATAAGTAGCTTACAGGAAAACATCCCCACCTCTGACATTGTTTCTTTCTTGCTTTAACAAATCTAGGGAACAAACAACTAATGCCATTTTTTTTCCTGCTAAACAGCTCAATTGAAATTGCCCATTGTGGTGGCACACTCCTGTAATGCCGGCTACTCTGAAGGCTGAAGCAGGTGGATTGCAAGTTTGAGGCCAGCCGGGACAATTTAGTAAGACCCTGTCTCAAAATAAAAAAATAAAAAAGCTGGGGATATAGCTCTGTGGTGGAGCACCCTTGGATTCCATTCCCAATACCATGAAAAAAAAAAAAAAGAAGAAGAAGAAGAAGAAAGAAATGCCAGAATCTAAACAAATACAACAAGGAAGGCAGGGGGCAGGATTAGTCAGTCAACACTTGTGTCATGGGCTCATACTCAATTGGCATTCCCACAACAACAATCACACATGGCTACAGATAGATAGTTCAGGACCACAGACTGTTGTTGAAAAACGTGATGCCAAGTACAGAAACCGAGTTACAGCTATCATGGGAGTCTTTAAATCTCTGCCCTCTAGCGTATGTCTCTTCTAAGGCAGTCTTACATGATGGTTAGGGCCCTCTTCTAAAATGAGAAAACATCACAGGGGCTCTCAGAGTGGGCTGCTCACAGGCCTCAATCCTATTTAAGATCCAAAGTAACCCTGAAGATAATTTTATAGAGGTATATTCACTTTCTGCTCAGAAAACCCTGCCACACAGTGTCACAGTCCTTCTCCCAACCTCCTTAACAACAAGTAGTGTGCTGGAGCTGGCTCACACAGGCTTGGTTTATGAGAACTGACTGTTCATGTGAAAGCCAGCTGGCTTCACATTAGCCATAGTGGTGGGAACACAATTACCCAACACTACCCATCAGCCCCCCTCTCAACACTCACCCTCCCTAGTGGTTGTTAAACATTTACTAACACACCAAGGGCCAACAACTCTAAAGCTGAAGCCTCAGGCTCACTTTTCCTCATAAAACTTTTTTTTTGTCTCGATGTACAGTGCTGAGGATGAAAACCAGGGCTTCATGCATATTAGGCAACCACTCTACCACTGAGCTACATCCCTAACTCCCTAATAAGGCTTGAAGCTCTTAGGATTTTCCTCCAAGATCTTTGTGCATTTTTTCCTACAGTAGTGAATGCCACCCAGAATACCTAACAATGTTGTGCTTCACAAACTAGGGTTTTCCTCTTATTGGTATCTCACTCTTCCCTTAGAAAATAAAGTGAGGTTTCATTTAGATCTCCAACACCCAACAGTGATTTGTAATGGCTCTTAGGATCAGGATAAAATAAAAAGATGTAGGAAGATTACTAATAGATGGAAATAAATAATACTTGGCAGCTTTCAACAATATCCTGCATTGTCATAATACTTATGAAGATATGCCCTTTGTTACACAACAGGCCTCCTCTGTATCCAAAGTGCAAATTCTAGTGAGGGAGGAAATTTAAAAGAAACAAAGGGAAGTAAAACTCCATCAAAATCCCTAATGTAGAAAACTTGGAATCTGGTTGCGCTGTCCTATGGTCCTATGACATATGGTTGAGGGGGAGGGTACCAGCAGAACATTGTTCTGATCTTCACAAAAAAATTACTAAATTTATACGTAAAAAAGTTTTAGTAATAGCTGGGTTTGGTGGCACATGCCTGTAATCCCAGCTGCTCAGGAGGCTGAGGCAGGAGGATCATGAGTTCAAAGCCAGCTTCAGCAAAAGCATCTCAGTGAGACCCTGTCTCTAAATAAAACACAAAATATGGCTGGGGAAGTGGCTCAGTGGTCCAGGGCTCCTGAGTTCAATCCCTGGTACCACCAAAAAAAAAAAAAAAAAAGTTTTAGCAAGCTCCAGGACTATTGAGTTGAAAGGAAAACTAGCTTCAAGATAGATTTGTACACTCTTACAAAGTGAAATACTGGTTGCCAGGGCAGAAAGAGGAACAGGGAAAGGGAGTTATTCAGTGAGTATAGGGTTTCAGTTCTGCAGGATGGAAAAATCCTAGAGAGCTGTGGCACAACCATGTGTGTGCTGTAAGTCTACTGTACTATACGGTAAAAAATGGTTTAGATGGTAAATTTTGATGTGTAGTGTGTGTGTGTGTGTGTTTAACCACAATTTAAAAAGCAAGCTTGCCTCTTATGTCTCATCACTTGGCTAGCAAGCTAGCAATGAGGTTGGCTCAGGCTAGGCCCTTAATAAATGGAACCAGAAGGAAAGCAGACCTAGGAATGGAAGGAATCAAAGTAGACTCAAAGTTCCTTATGTAGAGAACCACTGATATTGCCATGCATTCCAAATATTCCAGTCTTAGCTTAGCTTTATTGTTTTAGGAATCCTTATTCCTTGATGATCAGGTTTGCCTGGCATACCAAGACAAACTAGATAGGGATGGACACTTATCAATGAGCCATAAATAGACAGAAAGGAGCTAAATCTTAATTGAGGGGTGGGCAGATGGCCTGAAGGACATTTTTTTCCTTTTTTTTTTTTTTTTGTGGTTCTGATCTGAGGACTGAACCCAGGGCTTCTCATACAGCTATACCACCAACCCCTGAAGGTCCACTTTTTAAAAGATGTGGTAGAAACAAGCCAAATCCAGTAGGGTATAAACTGAGAGTAGTTTCATAGTTCTTGGAAAAGTTCTTAATCTTTTCTCATAAAGATATGTTAAATATAAGCACAGGTCAAAATGTCCTTACATAGGGTAACATAAGGCAAAAGTTTCACGACCCCAAATTTGGCAATGATTTTTTGGATATTACACCAAAGTACAGGCAACAAAAGAAAAAAAAAAAAACAGACAAGTTGAACTTCCTCGAAAATTTTAAAAATTATTATTCATAATAGCTAGAAAGATGGGCTGGGGATGTAGCTCAGCGATAAAGTGCTTGCCTACCAATGTGAGGCCCTGGGTTCAATCCCTAAGACTGCAGCAGAGGCTAGGAGCTAGAAGATGGAAACAAGCCATACACAATGTTGTATACCTACAATAAAAGCTACTCAGGAGGCTAAGGCAAGAAGATTACAAGTTAGAGGCCAACCTCAGCAAATTAAATCCTATCTTAGGCTGGGATTGTAGTTCAGTGGTAGAACACTTGCCTAGCAAGTGTGAGGCACTGGGTTCAATTCTCAGAACCACATAAAAATATAGATATTGTGTCCATCTACAACTAAAAACATTAAAAGGAAGAAAGATTCCATCTCAAAACTGAAAAAATAATGGAAAGGGCTGAGATGTAGTTCAGTGGTAGAATGCCCTAGATTCAATCCCTAGTACCTAAATAAATAAATGGTGGAAACAACCTACATGTCCATCAATGCAATGAATGAATTATTATTCAGTCTTAAAAAAATAAATTCCGATACATGCAACAACACGGAAGAACCTTGAATATACTATGCTACAAGAAATAAGAAGTCACGAAATATATGATTCCACTAAGACACCCAGCATAGTCAAATTGTTTACTGGCAACAGTGGCTACCTTTTGAGGATCATAAAGAATGGTGTTTATTATTTGAAGACTAAAGAGTTTCAGTACACAAGGATGAGAAAGTTCTAGAGAGACAAATAGTGATGGCTGCACAATGGTGTAAATGTATTTAATGCCACTGAACGTATACTTAAAATTTTAAAAATGGTAAATTTCTTGTCGTGTACATTTTAGCACATGTAAAAAAAACAAGTCAAAATGAAAAAGCTTTACAGACAAATAAAATGTCTGCATATACACTATAAAAATGTTTGCAGTTTAAAATGCATGACTATTGAGTCATACTAAGGGCATTAACTCATTAAAAAAAAATTTGCACTCCTTGAAGTCAATGAAAACTGACAGAAAATTGTTCTCTCTCTTCTGGATGTTTGAAAAGAAAGCCTAGTGTGAGAGACTGGGATTTATTTAATCAGCAATAATGTATAGCCTTTGATGTCTTAGAACAGAGGCTAAATGTATCTGGGGTCATCAGGAATCAAGAATAAACAAATCTCTTGCCAGAAGAAAACGGCAAGCTGGGCAGGCATATGTTTTTAAAAAGCCCTATATTGTCTACTAGCTAAGTGCTATAAATTCCAGTTAACACCTATCCATGGTCTTTAGGTTTTATTTTAGGAGTACTTTAAAATCTACTAGGAATAAAATTCTTAATTTTTTTTCTTACTCATTCTGCGGCTAACAGCTGCAGGGCCCTACTACATGCCAAAGCCAGCTCTTTGAAAAGCTGCGAATACTCTTAACATTAAGTGACATTAGCATTAATGTTCATAAGTGAAGGGAGAGAAGTGCTCCAATAATGTTGGAGATAAGCAAGGCAGTCAAATAACTCTAATCTGATAGTGCTGAGAATAAAAACAAGTACACTAGAATGCTGTCTGTCATTTAGCACTCTTCAAAGACAGTTAGGGAACAGAAGCAACAGCTATTTTAAGGGTAGTTTTGAAAAGGGTCCCAGAATAGTGTCACCCTCCCTGCCCCAAGCCCCAAGTGAAAAGGAATGTTAAAGGGAGGTTTACCTAAGTATACAAAAACTCCATGACAGAAAGAACTATACTTATTCACTGTTGATCCCTACTACCCAGCACCATATCTTGTATTACAGCAGGCAAGTAATTATTAGGTTGATTTACTTTCCCATTCTTTTTCCCTCTTCCTCTCCACAGGACTCACTTCATCTCTGGCTCATGGACTCTTTTTGAGAGGCACTTTCATCACTTCATTTAACTTTGAAAGAAGTTGGAGGAGGGTGAGGACATGTGCTTGCTAATCATCCTTTTCCAGATTGTCTCATGCACCAGAATGAGCTTTTATTATTGGTCTGTGGCTGCTTCTGCTGGAGAAAGATTTCAGCCTGACCTTCCCAAGCTGCTAGGGATGAATGCTGCACGTGGCTGACAGTGAAAATGTGTCTTCCTATTTTTTAAAAAAGCTTTTAGGCTAACCAGAGCTCACTGATGTAGGAAAGTCATCCCTTTTCTCAGTGTTCAGAATTCAAGGTGTTGCATTCTTCTGCATAAAAATGACATAGAAACTGACACAAATGGGTCCAAGAGAAAAAGATAGCAGCATCAGGAAGCACCTCACAGAGAGCTCAGCATCAAAGAATAGGACTCCGGACTGCTCTAAGGCAGAAAGGAAAAAATAAAAAATAAAAGCCATTTATAACAGAGTTTTAAATGTGAGGATGGATTCGCACAGCTGGCCTCACAAAAGAGAACAAATATGTCAAAGGGAACAACTGACAGACTAATAGAGTCCTATCCATCTGGCTGAGGAAAGAAGCACTGGGGAATACTGAGAAGCCTGTCTGTTAGGAAAAAGCTTGCCTCGTGCTTCATTGGGTGAACTGAATAGCTTTTAGGAACACTGAACACATGGTCATACCATAGCTGCTGGCTGGTCCTGTCAGGAAGAAGCTCAGAAAAGGGGTACAATGATGCATTGGCAAGCAAGGGAGAAAGGAGCATATGTGGTCTTCTTATTGGCTTGGAATCCATACCCTGGCCCCTCCAACTTGGGAGGAGGATGAGAAGAAAGGAAGGGGAATCATGTGAAGAAGATATCTTCTTTTCTGCTTTTAAAAATGGACTCAAGTGTCTCAGAATGAAACATCAGGTTCAACCCTATGCCATGCTAATGCCCCATCTGTACTTTTATATAATGTAGAGCTAAGTGCAGGCACTTTGGGAGAAGGGGAAATCAGGCCAGATTCAAGCAAAGCAAAACACAAGCTCTCTGCATTTCCATCTCAGTCCATACCATAAAAAAGCCTGCTCAGAAAATAATTGCTCAAGGCAAAGGGAACTCAATTACTAAGGAAAATCTGTCCCAAAAAGGGCTCATGTTTTAACGAGCCAAAAAGCTTCAAATTAAGCTGAACTAAGGGTTTTTCTAATTGGCAGTTTTATACATTTCTAAGATCTCGTTTCTTACTTTCAAAAATCAAAAATGACTCTAAGATTTTAAAAAGTAATGATTTATCACCCACTCTAAAACAATAATTCACCAAATTTTCAACTATATTTCTCCTATGTAATTAAACAAACCATGCAGATGGCACAAATGCAGAAGATATTACTTGCTATTTTAAGTACTATCAAGCAATCCTGTACTAATTCGTCTCAAATGGCCTGGCTCTTGCCATTCCCGTTCAGTCACAGAATCACCTGCCACCAGAGAGAAGGCAACTGATTGATCCTAGCCACCAACTAGGTCACTCTGAGAAGAGTAATGGCTTACCTGCTCCTCTGACAGTTGGGATATGTGATTCACAGCAGCATAGGACTCAATTTTGGGGTTAAAGTGGTTGATGATGGCTCTGAAACAAAGAATTAAAATTAATATAGTACCAGATGGGAGAAGAGGATAAACTGGTTAAAAACAAGGATTGAGTACCCTCTGGCTTAGAGTGCTAGATCATGGGAGTGATTGTCAGAAGGTAATTGTCTTCTTACTAATCATGAGATTACAAATGGAAGTGAATTAACAACTCTGAATAGGAAGAGTTTAATAATTTATTAGAGGACAGAATCAAGCATCTCCACTATGCAAATGAAGCAGAAAAATCCACAACCAAACAAGCTAAACAAAGAAAAACCATGTGAGTCCTTCAGATAAGAAACAGGACCAAGGGTGCTGGCTGCCAGAGGGCCCTATGTTTCAATCAAAAAGGGAAGTTGTGAGGGGAGTGAAAGAAGGGGTGGGGCAGTGGGGATGGGAAGGACAGTGGAATGAGACAATACATTATTACCCTATATACATGTATGATTACACTACTGGAGTGATCTGCACCATGTACAGCCAGAGGAATGAGAAGTATGCTCCATTTGTGTACAATATGTCAAAATGCATTCTACTGTAAAATAAATACATAATAAACCTTTTCTCTTTACAAAAAAAAGAAAGGGAAGTTGTTTTTCTCAGCTCTGACTTGGGAGAACAAGACTCTGAGAATGTTGGTTCAATATATAGGCTAAATACACTCTCTCAAGAAACTCACCTTCATCAAGGCTACAAACAATGTTCACACTTTTTAGTATATAGTTTTAATCTCTCTTTTCCACCCCCTTGGTCATTACTAGGGATTGAACCCAAGGTGTTCCACCACTGAAGTACATTCACAGTCCTTTTTATCTATCTATCTATCTATCTATCTATCTATCTATCTATCTATCTATTTTTTTAGTTGTAGATGGCCACAATCTCTTTATTTATTTATTTTTATGTGGTGCTGAGAATTGAACCCAGGTCCTCACAGGCGCGAGGCAAGTGCTCTACCACTGAACTACAACCCCAGCCCAAGTCCTTTTTATTTTTATTTTTTTTAATATTTATTTTTTAGTTGTAGTTGGACACAAAGGTATTGTACCTTTATTATTATTTTTGTATTTTATTTTATTTATTTTTTTAACCATAGGATTTATTTTTATTTTTTTTAGTCATACATGACAGCAGAATGTATTTTGACATATAACACATACATGTAATGTACATACATCCATCATATTGTCTATTCTATTCTGCTGCCCCTCCTATCCCTCCTACTCCTCCCCTCCTCTCCCATCCTTTTTCTCTATCCAATCAATTATTATTTTTAATTATATTTTTAGGTGGTGCTGAGGATCGAACCCAGGGCCTCACACGTGCTAGGCTAGCACTCTACCGCTGAGCCACAACCCCAACCCCCCTTTTTATTTTTTATATTGAGATGTGATTTCATTAAATTGTTGAGGCTGGCTTCAAATCTGTGATTCTCATTGCCTTAGATTCTAGAGTAGTCAGGATTAGAGGCGTGCACTACTGCATTCAGTTCAACCCCAAATTTTAATCCCAACCATTCAACCCAAAATCTGAGTTATCATTTTTCAAACACTCCTGCTGCATCGCTCCTTAGCTTCCAAGGTTACCAAGTCTTATCAGCCCCACCTCAAAAATGTCTAAAATCTGAAATAAATATATTTCCCTGAAACCAATATCTTGGGATAAATTCTTGTCATTTCTAGCCAGGTGCAGCAGAAAAAATATTGGGTTTTAAATCAAGGTTTCATAGGAGTTCATACTGATATAAATAAATGATTAAGAAAATGGGTAAAAGAACCAAGTCTTTCTTTCTCTCTCAATCTCTGTACTGGGGATTGAGCACAAGGCCTTGCAAATGCTAGGCAAACACTCTACCTCTGAGCTACGTCCCCAACCCAAACCAAATCCTTCTAATATAATAATTCAAGTAACATGTATAGATATTCTCTCCTATAGGAGGTAAAGTTTAAATTCCACCCTTAAGGAAGAGCTAGATTTAGTGCCTTATTTAGGATAGCAAAAGGACAAAACAGTAATTTTACAGTAAAGAAACCTAGCAAATGCTAATTTAATCAAATGATAAAGGTTAACATCACCAGTGATATCATGGGAATTTCACATAACCCCTATTGTAATATCATGAGAAGGGCACTTCACCTCTGTTGTTTTCTTCCAAAAGCTATAACCCTAATCTAAACGTAAGAAAAATATCAGACAAATCCAGGCAGGGGACATTCCACAGCATCTCAGTCCTCCTTAAGATTGTGAATGTCATGAAAAATAAGACTTGAGAAATTGTCACAGACTAGAGGACACTGGGGAGATACAACAACTAAATATAGCATGGTACCCTGGACTGGATCCTGTACATAGAAATAGAATATTAATAAATAAACTGGTGAAGTCTAAGTAAAATACAGAGTTTTAGTTAACAGTGATGTAACAATGCAGTTTCTTTTGTTGATAGATGTACTATGTTAATGTAAGATGAGTAAAAGTAGGCCGAGGGTACATAGGAACTCTGTATACTATCTTTGCACTTTTTTTTTTTGAGAGTACTTATTATATTTTATTCTGCATGCTCACAAATTGCGGGAATGTTTTTAACAAAAAAAATGTAGTAAAACACTCATGAAATAGATGGGTGGTATTTTTAAAAATTTTAAAAATAAAGTACATGAAGTATAGTATCAATTTCTTTTTTTTTTATAAATCTAAAATTATTCCAAAAGAAAAAGTTTATTAAAATGTGTGTGCATGGCAGTGGCACACATCCCAGCAGCTCTGGAGGCTGAGAAGGGAGGATTGAGAGTTCAAAGTCAGCCTCAGCAACTGCGAGGCGCGAAGCAACTAAGTGAGACTCTGTCTCTAAATAAAATACAAAATAGGGCTGGGGATGTGGCTCAGTGGTCCTGAGTTCAATCCCTGGTACCCTCCTCCATCAAAAAAAAAAAAAGTGTGTGCATGAGAGAGCATAACAGAAATCAATATTTCCTTTTAATATGATATCCATTGATAGTAAAAAAATTATAGACCCATTTTATCTAATGCAAATAATAATAGTAATAAGGCAGAAGCTTAAAAAATATCATAGCTTGTTATTTTATTTTCACAATAAGACATGGTCTTATTATGTTGCCTGGGCTGGTCTTGAACTCCTGGGAAATCCTTCCATCTCAACCTCCCAAGTAGCTGGGACTATAGGTGTGCACCACCATGCCTGAAAAATCATAATTTGGCTGGTTGACCATTTGTTATTCTGATTCTTGGCAAACCATGTATCTCACCAAAGGAAAAAGTGGTAACAATCACACTTAGCGTAGTACCTGGGAATAGTACATTATAGGCATACAATAAAGGTATGCTAAAAGAAGCTGGGAGCAATGGTACACTCCTATAATCCCAGCTACTCAGAAAGCTGAGGCAGAAACTTCGAGTTCAAGGCCATCCTGGACAATTCAGCAAAACCCTGTCCCAAAATAAAAAATAAAAAGGGCTGAGGATATAGCTCAGTGGCAGAGCATCAAGGTTCAATTGAAACCTAAAAAAGTACTGGGGGAAAAAAAAAGTTTGCTGAAAGAATGACTAAACCTTGAGAGGGTTCTTACAATATTTATATGATATATAAAATAAATATATAACATTTATGTAACTGTATATACTATAATAAAAACCTGGAAAAGCAATGTCAAATGTTTGGCACACAGCTGGTGCTCAATAAATATTCAATGAGTGAATAAATCAAACAGGATAGAAATGGGTCAGGAGAAGAGTTCTGAAAACTAATTTTTCTAGAGAATAACAAGAGGAGCAGACATAATATCTGTCTGTTAAGACTGAGGCTTGGGGGTGCTGGGGTTGTGGCTCAGTGGTAGAGCACTTGCCTCACATGTGTGAGGCACTGGGTTGGATCCTTAGCATCACATAAAAAAAAATGAGTAAAATAAAGATATTGTATCCATCTACAACTAAAAAAATATTAGAAAAAAAAAGATTGAGGCTTGGGGGCTGAGGCTGTAGCTCAGTGGCAGAGTGCTTGCCTAGCACGCGTGAACACTGAGTTCGATCCTCAGCACCATATATTTGTTATTATAAAAATAAACAAATAAAATAAAGGCATTCTGTCCATCTACAACTACAAAAAATATTTTATAAAAAGAAAAGAAAAAAGATTGAAGCTTGGTGTAAATCCAAGGTGGAAAAGAATTTTGTAACCAAACATTTTGTCAAATATGTTTTTCACTCAGAGAAACACTCAGAGGGTGAAGTTTGAGTTTACTGTCAGGGATGACCACAGCCTAGAAGCAAATGAACCTGATTGATGCTTCAAAATAAAAAGTGATCTATTTGGACTTCTTTGAGTTTAAAAGATTTTGTGTGGCAAAAACCCATCAAGAAAGTGAAAAGAGAACCTACAGAATAGGTTTATTTGCAAGTCCATTATTTGATAAGGAATTTAAAGCCAGAATATATAAAGAATTCCTACAATTCAACAATAAAAAGGAAAGTAACCTGATTATTTAAAGGAGCAAAAGATTTGATATATGTGAAAATACGCTCAACAACATTAGTCATTAAGGATTTTAAATGCAAATCAAAACCATAAGATAGCCAGGCATAAGGCCATTGCAAATCTGCCCCAGAGGCAGAGGCGGAGGCGGAGGCAGGAGGATCTTGAGTTCAAAGCCAGCCTCAGCAATTTAGCTAGGTGTTAAGCAACTTAGTGAGACTCTATCTCAAAATAAAATGCTAAAATAGGGCTGGGGATATGGCTCAGTGGTTGAGTTCCCCTGGGTTCAATCCCTGGTCCTGAAAAAACAAACAAACACCAAAACCCATAAGATACCATTTCATACCCACTAGGACACTAGCATAGTGATAATAAAAAAAAATAGTAGGTGTTAGCAAGGATTTGGAGAAATTAGCATCTTCTATATGACTGGTGGAATTGTAAAATGACACAGCTTCTTTGGAAAGTGGCTCAGCAGTTCCACAAATGTTAAACAGAGTTATCACATGACCTAGTCCATCCCTAGGAATATATCCAAAAGAATAAAAATATATGTCCACACACAAAACTTGTACATAAATGTTCAGAGCATCATTATTCCTAATAGCCAAAATATGGAAACAACCCAAATGTCCATCAACCGAGGAGCAGATCAACAACAATGTTACAGAAAAAATAAAAAAGAAGGGGGACTAGGGGTGTAACTCAGTGGTAAAGTACTTGCCTCACATGCAACTGGAAGCCCTGGGAGGAAGAGGAAGAGGAAGAGGAGGAAGGAGGAGGAGGAGGAAGAAGAGGAAGAAGAGGAGAAGGAGGAGGAAGAGGAGGAAGAAGAGGAGGAGGAAGATGAAGAAGAGGAAGAGGAAGAGGAGGAAGAGGAAGAAGGGGAGGAAGAAGAAGAGGAAGAGGAAGAAGAAGAGGAGGAGAAAGAAGAGAAAGAAGAAGAGGAAGATGAAGAAGAGGAGGAGGAAGAGGAAGAGGAGGAAGAAGAAGAGGAGGAGGAGGAAGAGGAGGAAGAGGAAGAAGGGGAGGAAGAAGAAAAGGAAGAGGAAGAAGAAGAGGAGGAGAAAGAAGAGAAAGAAGAA